ATTGATGTCCACTTGTTTCAGCACCGTTTGTTGAAAAGGCTAGTTTTCCTCCATTGGATTGCTTTTGCACCTTTGTCAAAAATCAATTGAGCATATTCTTGTGGGTCTTTATCTTGGTTCTCTATTCTGTCCATTGATCTATGTGTGTGTGCCTTTACCAGTAACACACAGTTTTGATACTGTAGAAATTGGGTAGACTGATTCCTCCCAATTTATTGTTTTTCAAATTGTTTTATCTGTTTTAGTTCCTTTGACATAACCATTTATATATTAGAATAACCTCGTGTATATATACAAAAAATATGTATATTTCTGGAATTATGAAAGGAATTGCATTAAACCTGTATATCAATTTGTGAAGAATTGACATCTTTACTATGTTGATTCTTCCAATCTATGAATACAGTATGTCTCTCCAGTTATTTAGATATTCTTTGATTTTTTTTATCAGCATTCTGTAGTTTTCAGTACTCAAGTCTTGTTCATGTTTTGATAGATTTACTCTTAAGTATTTCTTCTGGGGTTTTTTGAGCAAATTTAAATGGTATTTTATTTTTAAGTTTGGTTTCCACATGTTCATTGCTAGTATATAGAAATGCAATTGATTTTTATATGTCTATCTCATATCTTCCAACTCTACTAATTTTGTGCAGATTCCTTGGGATTTCTTTGTAGACAATCATGTCATCTGAAAACAGGAACAAGTTTTTTTCTTCCTTTCTGATTTGTATGCATTTTAGTTCCTTTTCTTGCCTCATTGCTTTAACTAGAACTTCTGGCACTATGTTAAATAAAAGTGGTGAGAGCAGATATCTTTACCTTGTTCCTATCTTCAGGAAAAGTATTCAGTCTTTCACAATTAAGTAAGACATTGGCCATAGGGGTTTTGTACATGATCTGTATCAGAGTTAGGAATTTCTCTTCTATTCTTCTTTATTCTGAAAGTCTTTGTGGTGAATGTGTTTTTATGTCAAATGCTTTTTGATGTAATGGATATTGAATTATGACAAATGCTTTTTCTGAATTGCTTGCTATAGCCATATGATTTTTTTCTCTAAGCTTTTAATATGGTGGGTTGCTTTGGTTGATTTTCAAATATTGAACCAGCCTCGCATTCTTGGAATAAACCCTACTTATTCATGATGTATAATTCTTTTTATATTTAGCTAAATTCTATTTGTTAATATTATGTTAAGGATTTTGTGCTAAATTCATGAGGGATGTTACTCTGTAGTTATTTTTTTTGTACTGTCTTTGTCTAATTTTTTTTTTGTATCAGAGTAATACTAGTGCTATAAAGTAAATTCAGATGTAGTCCTTCCTTGTCTCATTTCTGGAAAAGATTGTGTACAGCTGATGTTAATTCTTCCTTAAATGTTTGGTAGAATTCTTCAGTAAAACCATCTAGGCCTGGACATTTCTGTTTGGGGAGTTTTATTTTATTTTATTTTTTGGGAAAAAAACTTGTCTTTATTTTCACTGAACTCAAACTGAAATTGAATGCTTCCTTTTACTACATATAAAAGTAACAAATCCCAGTAACATCAACAGTATCTATGAATTTGTCACCAAATCACATTTTTATAACATATTATAGTAGTTGCAGATATTTAAAAATATCATTTATACTAATCACTACTTTAAAATTATGGTAGATATTACTCTCTTGCTGATACTTGCTATTTATTTATTTATTTTCATTTATTTATTTTCAATTTTTGTTTTTATAGCAGTAACAGTGGATTATAATGCTATACAACTTTCAAATGTACATCATAATATATTTCAGATTCTGTGTAGATTACATCATGTTCACTACCCAAAGACTAATTATAATCCATCACCACACAAGTGCCTAATCACCCCTTTCACCCTCCTCCCTCCCCTCTTCCCCTCTGGTAACCACCAATCCAATCTCTCTTGCTGTGTGTTTGTTTGTCGTTGTTTTTACCTTCTACTTATCAGTTAGATCATATGGTATTTGACTTTCTCCTTCTGACTTATCTCCCTTAGCATAATCCCCTCAAGGTCCATCCATGTTGTCACGAATTGCCAGATTTCATCATTTCTTATGGCTGAGTAGTATTCCATCGAGTATATATACCACATCTCCTTTATCCATTCGTCCCTTGATGGGTATCTAGGTTGCTTCCAAGTCTTGGCTATTGTGAATAAGGCTGTGATGAACATAGGGGTACATGTATCTTTATGCATTTGTGTTTCAAGTTCTTGGGGTAAATATCCAGCAGTGGAATAGTTGGATCATATGGTAGACCTATTCTTAATTTTCTAAGGAAATTCCATACTGTTTTCCATAGTGGCTGCACCAGTTTATATTCCCACCAGCAGTGTAAGAGGGTTCCCTTCTCCCCACATCATCTCCAATGCTTGCTATTTCCTGTCTTGTTAATTATAGCCATTCTGACTGGAGTGAGGTGATATCTCATTGTAGTTTTGATTTCCATTTCCTTGATAGTTAATGATGTTGAACATGCTTTCATGTACCTGTTGGCCTGCTGTATATCTTCTTCGGGGAGATCTCTGTTCAGATCTTTTGCCCATTTTTAATTGGGTTGTTGGGTTTTTTGTTGTTGAGCTGTATGAGTTCTTTGTATCTTTTGGATATTAACCCCTTATCTGATATATGGCTTGCAAATATCTTCTCCCAATTGCTAGGCTGTCTTTTTGTTTTGTTGATGGTTTCCTTTGCTGTGCAGAAGCTTTTTAGTTTGAGGTAGTCCCATTTGTTTATTTTTTCTTTGTTTCCCTTGCCCGGTCAGACACTGCACTTGAAAATATGCTGCTAAGACCAATGTCAAAGAGCATGCTGCCTATGTTTTCTTCTAGAAGTTTCATGGTTTCGGGTGTTACATTCAAGTCTTTAATCCATTTTGAGTTGATTTTTGTGCATGGTGTAAGATGATGGTCTGCTTTCATTCTTTTGCATGTGGCTGTCCAGTTTTAACAACACAGTTATTGAAGAGACTCTCCTTTCTCCATCGTATGCTCTTGGCTCCCTTGTCAAAAATTAGCTGTCCATATATGTGTGGATTTATTTCTAGGCTCTTGATTCTGTTCCATTGATCTGTGTGTCTGTTTTTGTGCCAGTACCATGCTGTTTTGGTTGCTATGGCTTTGTAGTGTATTTTGAGATCAGGGAGTGTGATACCTCCGGCTTTGTTCTTTTTCTTTAGGATTCCTTTGGCTCTTAGGGTCTTTTGTTGTTCTATATAAATTTTAGGGTTCTTTGTTCCATTTCTGTGAAAATGTTGTTGGATGTTTGGGCAGCTTTAAAATAATTAATGCAACTTCGTTAATAGTTACAGAGCTATTAAAATTTTCTATTTCATATTGGGTGAATTGTGGTAATTTGGTTTTTTGATGAATTGCTCCATAAATCTAAGTTGCCAAATTTATGTGTGTAAAGTTGTTCATTGTGGTCTCCACTGACATCATGGTGACTGCACAGGGTCTTTTTACCACTGGGCAGTGATGAAAGCTCTGACTCCCCACTAGACCTCTTCTGACATTACTCCAAGAGAAGGGACAGAGGTGCCTCATTACTGCTGGGAGGGAGTGGAAGTCCTAGATTGCTATGTGGTGTCCCCTGACACAGCAGGCTGGGTGGAGCCTCTTTACTACCCGGCAGGTATCAAAATCTTGGCTCGCTACTCAGCCTTCCCTGACGTCACTCTGATAAGAAGGATGATACACCTAGTCACATTCTGGTAAGGGTAAAAGTCTAGACTCCCCACTCAAACTTTGCTGGTATAGGTGGAGGTGGGGGTCACAGAATTTCTGAGGTGTTTGGCTACAGTTTAGTGGTTATTGTCTAAAAGTTTTCTGTCTTTCTTGGTCCTTTGACTGGAAGGAAGAGGCTTTTCTTGGGACTTTTTAAATCTGTGCCCATTGGTTTTTCCAGGCTGCTGGCTTCTTTAGCTTCTGCTCTTTGCCTTTCACACTTGTCTTCTTCTTTTTGATAGTTTCTTCTCTTTGTTCTTATCCTCTGAATTCTGGAAGAATTGTTGAAAGATGTCTTCCAAGTTTCTGGTTACTTCTCTGTAGAGATGATTCTTATCTGTACTGCTTCTAATGTAGATTTAAAATTCCTCATTACATTTTTAATTTCTTTACAATTTAAACTTTTCTTGTGAGTTCCCTTTATACATACAACTGTGTAGAAATCCCTTTTTCACTTTTTTATGTCACCTTTCTTCTCTCATTTCAGTGTTCTGTGTCTTCTTGAAGTTAGTTGAGTGCACAATTAAGATGTAATTTGTCTTTTCTAGTAAATCTTCCCTAGTTGAATATATAATACGTGAAGAGAAAAAAACAATCAAACACAACAAAAATATATGTAATTAAAAGTAAATATGCCTCTTTTCCCAAATATTTACCCCTTTCCTAAGATCAAACATTGTTAGTAATTTCTCATTTCCTTCCAGAAATGTTTTATGTATACATGAACATGTAAATGAATATTTGTGTTTTCTGTTTTCAATACAAATGAAATCATTTTGTATAAGCCTTGCTTTTTTCACTTACTATATCTTCAAGATCATTTTATATTGTCTTATAACATTCTACCTCATTCTAAACATATAATTGATAACACTGTTCTCAAAGTAATGCAGAAGTAGCATTCATACAAGCATCTTTTTTACATGTTTATAAACACTTATTTACATGCATCATAGAATGGCTATCACATCCATTCACCGAAATAACACTGGTCAGAATTAGTGGACAAGTGGCATTGAATGAATCCACCATAATTCATTTATCCACCCCATGTCCACCCCATGATGGAAATTTAAGTTGTTGCAAGTATTTAACCATGGAAAACATTTTTGAACAGTATTGTCTTCCTTAGATTCTTGAGTTAGGCTTTTTGGGGGGACTGTAAATATTTATTCTTTTTAAGTTTTTTCTTCTATTTCCTTTTTTTCTTGTTTGCACATCCTTGAATAATGAGAGATATATCCAGATTTGGTGCTTACCCAGAAACAAGGTGACTTAATTCTCCTTCTTTCCTCTCACTCCATCCGTTTGCATACAGTGTCCTCCTTCAAAATATAAAATTGAGGTACTGGTTTGTTTTATAGACCCATTCAAGAATGTTTGAAGGAATATACACCAAAATGTTAATATTTATCTATGAGTAGTTGAATTATAAGAGATTTTCACTTTATATGTATACCTTTTTATATTGCTTAACTTCCTTACATTGAAAAAATACTCATGTTATAAGAAGAAACAAATAATCCAAGGAAAATTTAAAATACAGCATTAACAACCCAAAATATGGAAGTAGGGGCTATTGGAGGTGAAAGCTGTCCCAGAAGAGAAATTTCATCTCTATGCCATTTTTTGAAGTGTGTTGAAGCTATTACACTGGTGGCAAGCTTTCTGTTGGTCCTGGCCTTCATAAAAGGGATTATGGACACTCTTAGATGCCAATCCCAAAAATCTTCCCTTTCTTTACTGCTAACAAAATCCTAATTTTGTTTAGGTGGAAAATTAAAGCAAAATCAAAGGATTTAATACATGAAAATTCAATGAAAAAACTATTTAGAGTGATTTTGGTAGGGTCCAAGGATCAGCAACAGGAGAGAGCTAAAACCTACACTAGGCCTGAAGGACAAGAAGGATAAGAGGTTATTGAATCCAAGGGGGAGCTGTAGCTGCAGGAGAATGCCTCTTGGTGGGAGCTGTGGCATTTGCTATACAGAGAATGGCGTTACCAAAACCTAAGGGGAGCTGGAGTCATGGAGGCAGGATTACTCAGTAGGAGTTACAACCAAAGGCTGTGCAAGGAAAGAGGAAGCTGGAGAAAATACACCAGCCATTCTGTTCTCCTGCCTTCAGATTTCTTGCCATGTCTCCTCATACCAATACTCAATGAGAAACTGGACAGCAAGGGAGCTCAGGTGATCTAGGCACAGAGGCCAGCCCCCTGATACATGGAGCAGGTTGAGAAGGGCAGTGAGACATACATCTTTTATGTCCTATCTTACAGCCCCTTGGCCCACCATTTTGTTCTGGTCGTTGCTGTGGTAACCAGCTGCAGCAATTGCACTTTGATTCAGCTACACAGCATGTCTCTTTGTGTGTCAGGAATCCTTTGCTTCCACAGCATGAGAGACTTGAATGAGACTAGCCTACTTACTCATTCTGCAGCATGCTCAAATTGTACATGCGAGGAAGTTAGCGGCCCCTGAGGCAACTCTTGACCAATCAGGCTTGGAAGGCAGTGGAGAAATGCGTTGAGTAAACAATTCCATGTCTTGAGTAAACAATTCTGAGACAGGATCTACACAGTTCTTCAGAGGTTTCTCAGCTAGATTAAACCCCAGTTTCCCATAACAGTAACTGAATCTCAACCTTAATAACTCCACTCTCAGATTAGCTTTACCTTCTTCTCTATTTAACTGTCCTAGTCCCCTGACTTCTGTTCCCTGACAACACTTCTCAAAATAACTGCCTTCATGTATCCCTTTTCTTAGGCTCTACTCTTGGGGGAAATCCAAGATAAAATAGACAGAATTGGGTAGCTCTGAAGGGGCAAAAGGAAAATAACCAATCCACATGTCCACGGTTCTCCCAAGAGAGGCCGAGGTGAATAACCTTATTCCAAAATGCAGCTGTAGATGCCAATTAGTCTACAGGTTTAGAAAGCATGTGTGACCAGTTTGGGCCAATGATAAGAGAAATATGTTGCTATACTTTACAGTGTAAGAGCAAACTGTAGCACAAGGGCAGCTCTAAAGGGGCAGCCTAAAATATGAGGTACTGCAAAATACATAATGTTTTCATTAGGTTCAAAAGATAACTCCAAAGGTTTTGGTAAAAAGCCACACCATCAATCCAATTACAGTCTATTAACCCCAAATTGCTGGTGCCACAGTCACAGATATGAGCTGGGACCTAGAAACTTGAGAAAAGAAGGAAAGAGAAAGAGAAGCTTGGGGTTGACATAATATCTAGCCAGAACCCAAGGCATGGGAAAGTCGTAGGTTTAACTGTTTGTCAAACACGTGGTTTGACCCTCCCATAGTTTAGAGGATGTGCACACACAGCTCTGATTCCATAAGATAAAGGTAATGATGTAAACTAGGGGGTCGGTCGACCTTTTCTAGAAAGAAATCTTTTCAGATGGTAAATATTTTAGGTCTTATAGGCCATACAGTCTATAAAAGCAGCCATAGAAACAACATAAACAAATGGGTGTGGCCACGCTCAAATGAAACTTTTCTTACAAAAACAGGTGGTGGACTTGATTTGGCCTTTGGGTTGTAGTCTGCTGACCGTTGTGTAAACCAAGAAGCCCTGTGTTACCACCTCGCAAAGAACCCAATTGCACCTCAATTAACACTTTCTTCAAAATGTGAAAGATTGCATCTATAAATAAAATATTCGACTCTCCAGAGGTGTCTTCCAAAGATTTTATTTTCTCTTACTTAAGAATACTAGCTTTCTACTATTTCAAATTTCCAGAAAAATATTCATGTCAGCAAAATGCTGTCTAATTGATCATATTTTAATTTATTCATCTCACATAACTCTTCATATCTCACTCTGAAATGTGTGCTCCCAAAAATGAAATTGAAAGCACAAGATCTGAACACCTCTCATGAAAATCCATCAATCTAAAAAACACTAGGTAGGAGTAAAGAAAAATACATTTGTTCAAATGCAATCACAAAACTAAACCAAAAAGTAGTCTCCTGCAGGTAACCTTATGTTAAAAGATTTTCATGTTTTCTTGAGAGCCTTTCAGGCTGAAATTTCTAAAAGCCCACTGGCTGCACACAGTGGCAGAATGCAACAATGATTTAGCAGCCCCAGGAAAAATTACATAACAAAGCAAGACTATGGCAGAGTATATTTCTTATCCAGTAGTAAGTAATCTGCAGTTGCACAAATTAGAATTTGGTCAGGCCCCAGATGCTAATTGCAATACTGGGCAGAGTGTACTCAAGGCTTAATTTACATCAAATAGAGAAGGGGCTTCCAGTCCCAGGCATTGAACCCCATGTTGGAATGCTGTAGCTTTTCCTAAAGCAAAATAACACATTACCCACATCGTTGTTCAGCAGCACCATAGGTATCACTGTGGGAGTTTTCTAACAAATTACTGACGAGAGTTGGCCCTATTTAATCCATAATCATGAATGCCATCAGTGCCTATGGTTAGAGGACTATAAAGCCAAAGAATAGCACACACTCGGGTCTTGTTCAGACTAAATTACTACAGAAAAAGGGCCAACTACCAAAGTAACAGCGACCTCATCTTTAGATAGTCCTCTCGAAATAGTTATGTTTTTGTCCTGAGAACTTAATGGAAAAATAATCAATTCCTTTGAAGTTAGAATTTTTTTTCTGACGAGCCAATGTTTAACTTTCCCATCAAATAATGTGTTTTTTTCCTTATCAACACCCACAGTTTCTAACAAAGAGTACAGATTTTTCTTTGGCTTCTTTAGATATTCTATAAACCAGATTGGTTTATTATGTACAGATATTGGTGTCAAGCAGCTTACAGCTATGTAGTGTAATTTAAATAGATTTAAACAGATGTGTAAAGAACGTAATAACCACTAACCAAACACTGAAATGTTTTAACAGTGGTGAGCAAATGGCAGCAGTTACTGGTGTCTTCAGGAAGGAATGTGTGGGGTACAATTCCCGTTGACTTCTGTTTATCACAAAAGACCTCCCGAGAGACAAGAGTATTGTAGAAAGGAAGTCTAGGTGCAAGAGCTGGTGAGCTGGGAGACAGATAAAGCATGACAGACAAAATAGAGAGATTCAATTTAAAACATGTATGTTCTGCTTAAATTAATGGGAACTGAAATAAGTTTGCATAAACAGAGCAAGGGAGAAATAATCTGATTATGAACAGTTACAAGGGTCCTAAAGAGACATGACTAGATCATATCAAGGCTGTGTTTAAGTAATGGATGAGACATTAGAGATCAACGGAAAGACATCATACCTGTCGTTCACGGTGCTTTAACAAAGGATGTCATGTACATTATTTCATTCTGATAACAATCCTGAGAAGTAGATATATGATCCCCAATTTCCTGATAAGAGAGTAAAGGAAATATAAATGACTCATCTAAGACCATTTAGCTGGAGAATGGTTGTTATTAGTGCCCTTGAGTTGATTCCAACTCCTAGCGACACTGTACAGCAGAGTGGCATGCTGCCCAGTCTTGTTCCGTCATCCTCTCACCTTCCTATGCCATATGAGACGATGCTCCACTGCTATTTATGGTGTTTTCACAGCTAATATTTTGGAAGTGGGTGTCCTGGTCCTTCTTAGTTTGTCTTAGTCTAGAAGACTCTTCTGGACCCTGTCCACCATGGGTGATCCTGCGGGTATTTAAAATATGAGTGGCATAACTTTCAGCATCACAGCAATGGCAGCCGCCACAGTATGACAACTGACAGATGGGTAGTGTGGTTCCCTGACTGAAAAACAAACCCAGGGCATGCCGAGTCTTAGCCACCAGACAACCAGAGCTGTTGAATGGTACAATTAAAAAAAACCAAAAAACTCAGATCTTTTAGCTGTCAATCCATTGTTATTTCCACTCTCCACAACACCCTTTTTAAAAGGACAAAGCAGCGTAATCAAAACAGCATGGTACTGGTACAAAAACAGATGCACAGATCAATGGAACAGAATTGAAAGCCCAGAAATAAAACCACACATCTATGGACAGCTAATCTTTGACAAAGGAGCTGAGGGCCTACAATGGAGGAAAGAAAGTCTCTTCAACAAATGGTGCTGGGAAAACTGGACAGCCACATGTAAAAGAATGAAAATCAACCATGCTTTTTCACCATTTACTAAAATAAACTCAAAATGGATCAAAGACCTAAAGATTAGGCCTGAAGCAATAAGTCTGCTAGAAGAGAATATCGGCAGTACACTCTTTGACATCAGCTTCAAAAGAATCTTTTCGGACACCATAACCCCTCACATGAGGGAAACAATAGAAAGAATAAACAAATGGGACTTCATCAGACTAAAGAGCTTCTTCAAGGCAAGGGAAAACAGGATTGAAACAAAAAAACAGCCCACTAATTGGGAAAAAATATTCACAAGTTATTTATCCGACAAAGGGTTAATCTCCATAATATACAAAGAACTCACACAACTCAACAATAAAAAATCAAACAACCCAATTACAAAATGGGCAGGGGACATGGACAGACATTTCTCCAAAGAAGATATACGGATGGCCAATAGACACATGAAAAGATGCTCATCATCACTAATCATCAGGGAAATCAAAATCAAAACTACACTAAGATGTCACCTTACACCTGTTAGAATGGCAAAAATATCCAAAACCAAAAGTGACAAATGTTGGAGAGGCTGTGGAGAAAAGGGAACCCTCATACACTGTTGGTGGGAATGCAAACTGGTGCAACCACTATGGAAAACAGTATGGAGATTCCTCAAAAAGTTAAGAATAGAAATACCTTTTGACCCAGCTATCCCACTACTGGGTACCTATCCTAAGAACCTGAAATCAGCAATTCCAAAAGTTCCATGCACCCCTATGTCCATCGCAGCATTATTCACAATAGCCAAGTCATGGAACCAACCTAAGTGCCCAGCAACTGATGATTGGATAAAGGAGATGTGGTATATATATACAATGGAATACTACTCAGCCATAAAAAAGGACAAAGTCATCCCATCCACAACAACATGGATAGACCTTGAGGGTATTATGTTGAGTGAAATAAGCCAGACAGAGAAAGACGAACTCTGTATGACTCCACTCATAGGTGGTGGTTAACATATGGACAAAGAGAACTGATCGGTGGCTGCCAGGGGAAATGGGGGTGGGGAGAGAGCACTAGGGGTGAAGTGGTGTACCTACAACATGACTAATAATGATGTACAACTGTAATTTCACAAGGATGTTAACTTTCATAACCTTAATAAAAAAAAAAAAAAGGACAAAGCAGCAAGATGTCACAGTACACGTACCCCTGGATTAAAGGGTGTAGTAATTTTCAAAGTCAGTCTGAACTTCTTTTTCCCCAGCCCTTGTCAGTCACTGGCTATCTGTGGGACCTCACTAATGGCAATGACTCAAATTTCACTAGTCTTGCCTCTACATTTCACACACTCTCAGCCCTTTGCAAATCCTTCCCTGTGCTGCTGGGAGTCCCAGAGGTATCTCACTAGTTCTTATGATCTGTTCTCTCACAGTCTCCCACCCCTGTCTTGTCATGATGCCCACTGCCTTGAAACCACTGGAGGGCAGTGCCTCCCAGTGCCACTGATATGGCTGTATTCCATAAGAATACTGATGTCTGACCAGGATGGCCTTCACATTCTCTCAGCTTGACAAAGCTTAGACAAGCTTCTCCTTACTCTAGCCCCTCATCTCCCTTTTTTAGAGCTTTTACTTTAGAAAATTTGCAATTATAAACTCTTTCTCCACCCCTTTGAGATATAAATCTTTTCCAAGCCTCTTGCCAGTTTTACAACCCATGAATGTCTTTCTTGAGGGCCTGGAAGCCATCACTTTGAAACATAATCATCAAGAAAGATAGAGCACCTGTCTCCCTGTCTGTGGGAGGGTAGGAGCTAACTAACTTTGTTAAGTGCCAACTGGCCAACACTTGAATGAACCACATCCTAACATCCTCCAGTTACTTTCCACTAGCTCACCCCAGCACTTGAAAACTCTCCCACCTGTGTCTCAGTGGAGTTGTGGTCAATCTCTCTCCTCTATTACAGTAGTCTTGAATAAAATCTTTCTTGCCTCTTTAACTCCATCCAGTGCAATTTTTTCAGACCAAAAGTGCCACCACGCAGAGCAGTAAACCCCCAGGGACTCAGAGATTGCCTATCTCCCTGATTCAGGTTGCCCCTTGTAACTTGCAGTAAAGCCAAAGCGCTGTTGCCTTCTCTACATCTCATGGAGCGCTTCATGCAGAGTTCCTCTACCTTCAGGCTGCTGCTCCACAGACTCAGGAAGGACAGCGTGGCAGGCAAAGGCCATGCTACTGTCTGCATCTCAAGTCCTTTGTCAGGTGCCCAAACAGAACAAACCACTTTTTTCCTAAGCACCCCCCTCCAATTTTTTTTTAATCCAAATAAGCTCCTCATAGACCCAACCGTCAGAGGGCAATCATGCCCACACGTTTGAATTCCAGTTTAGTCTAAAACCAAGATCCCCATTTCACTTAGATGGGTGAAATAGTGTGATGGGGCTACTTAAAAACAGAACAAACCTGGAGAAAAAATGAAGTACTCTCAATACTTTTATTTACCCCTTTTGCATTGCTTGAAAGATCCAGTTCAAAGGACAATTCATAGAGTATATTTAAACACTCATGTACCTATACCACATGCTGATTTTTCAATTTAACTTTAAATGCCAGCCCAAAAAATTCAGAGCTGTTTTACTAAAAAAAAAAAAAAAAAAAAAAGATTAGCAGCATGAGTGGAAACGAGATGGAGCTGGTTTTCAGTTATTAGAAAGAACTGTAACAATTAGAGAAATCCAACTCTCGGATCAACTCTTGTAAGAAAATGGTTTTTCCATATTGGGATCCAGGTAGAGGCTGGAGATAGTGCATTCAGGATGTTGTAGAGGGAATTCACACATAAGGTAGGATACTAGAATCATCCAAGGACCCTTCTAACTCTGAGATGGTACTATTAGGTAGTATTACTATTTGCAAAATATTATTCTTTGAGATTCGTTAATGAGATTTTCTTAATTTCTTTTATATATATTAGCACCTCATTAAGCAAATAGAAAATATCCCCCAAATATAGAACATTTCTTTCTGAAATTAACACCTTATAACAGGAAGTCATTTTTATCAACACATCAGCTTCAGGACAGGGAAGGCAAAAGCGTTGAATGGTACATTTAACTAGATATTATATAATTGCTGTTATCTTTGCTCTTTGGCATCATGTGTGATTTGGTTATTCCTCACAGCGATCATCAAGCAATTAGGCATTGTTTATCCACAGCTGAATGATCTGAGCACTACAGAGATAGGTAAATTCTTCTTTCTCTTTTTCTACAAGTATTTAGAACCCTTGCCAGACATAAAATTACCACAAAAGACAGAATCCCTACTCTCAAACAGCCAGGGCTATAGGAGAGAGGGAGAGAGCTCCAGACAGGAGTCAGATTGCTCTCTTTCAGTTGATCTCCCCAACCCCCAGACTGGTGAGTGAGCAGCTGGGCTCAACCAATGCTGAAAATCAAGCCAATTGTGCGGACATCTTGGGCATTGGCCCAGCTGAATTTCTGGAGGTCATCCAATCTTGCCAGTATGGAAAGCCATACAATATTAACAGCAAGAAGAGACGACAGACTTTAGGACATTCTAGTCTTAGCTACAGGATGTCCTAGGCTTGTGAGTAAGTCAGCTAACCTTTTCAAATGGTAAGAGCTCATACACATCTGCAAAATGGGAATAATACCACATACTCGGACTACCGTAAGGTATTGTTGTAAAAATTAAAAGGTAAAAATGCCACTTATGTATTATTTGAGTGGTTATTATTTTTGAAAAAAAAGAATAAAGAAAATAGCCACTCTCATGCTAATCACAAAGGCCCCAGATTGTATGATTTCCACAGAGAGAAAAGGCGACAGGCTGAGGCAGCACTTTCTAACAGGCTCTAGCAAAACAGAGTAGAATGTATGAAATTCTAATTTCTTATCCTTCACCAATAATGTCAACTACTAACCAGAACTCTAGATATAGGATCCAAAGAATTTTGCTTGTGCTGAACATAAAATGTTTCCTCCCTTAGTCACACCTTAGTACATATTTAAAGCTTTTGAATATACGCTTAATATGGAACTTAAACCCCCAAAGAGGTCTTTTTTTTTGTCAGTAGGAGAATTTTAAGTAATTTCTAAAAAAACATTTATTTTAAAGCTTTTAGCTCTAATGGGAGAGAAAGCTAAGAGTAATAGTGAGTTCTCTCCTTGGCTACACTGCTTCATTCTGCTCTAACCATTATTATTTACCCCTCTGATTATGTTACCGAAAAGAGTAAAAGCCCATTAAATAAAGA